ATATCAAGTGAATCTTTTTAAATTTAATGAGCTCTACATATCTATATGTCTTGAAACTGAGCTGTCTGAGTAACCTGATGTGCTAGAATACAGGATCCACTAAGCTACTACTTCTATATTCTTTCTAAACTTGCCGCATATTTTTCCACAGCCATATATTTTCTACTTCTTCTGACTTTAAGCAGGACCTCCATCAGTTCACACACCCACTCTGCCCACTCTGTCTATTTTTTTTTTTTGGCGTGACCACATTCACTAGTTCCACTCCTCTCTGCTCCTGCATGCTTGTCTCCTTCAACCTGCTGACCTCATTCATTCACCCCCTTTTCTCTCAATCTCCCTCATCCTTGGCAGGCTCTGGCCCAACCTGTTTCCTTGCCTCTTCCACTTTCCCATGACAGAACCAAGGGTGGGAATCAAATGACCAGTTTCTCTCCCTTCACCTGGGCTCTTAGCTTGAGTTGTGAAAGAAAGCTTTGTCCCTCAAACCCTTCATCGCCTCCGGAGGTATGTCCTGTGTTGTCCATACAGGAAAGGACTTTGGTCTGACTGGAATTTTTGGGGCCCATGGGAAAATGTGAGGGAGTCAGAGCCTCAAGTCTTCCCCTGACATCTCCACCCACAGAGCATGCTATGTCATAATGGTGAGAAACCACTTTCCAGTAATACAAAAGAAAATGGCTATATCAATATTTTTCTAATGACAATATGTCAAGTTAAAGTGATCATGTAAACAGATGAGATGTCAGTACCAAACATTGAAGGCCTTCTAATTTTCTGATCACATTGCTTTGCTGTTCCTACCCCAGTTTTTTTTTTGTCTTAATGCAGTACAGCAGCAAAACTGGTAACTTATGACATAATGAGATAAGATGGGTTTTGTACACAGTGAAACAAGATGCAGCCGATAGCTCAGGCAGTGCTGTCATGGATCGTTCAAGGTAAAGAACAGATAAACGGGGAGGCCTGACAGCAGCTGGATTCCTAAATAAACTTAAAGACAAATTTGCTGAAAGGTGTCATGTCAGCACTGAGTTCATGTTGTATTTTTGTTGCCCTCTAGTAGCCACGTTTGGATGAATACTGGACTAATTTGACCCCGATGGAGCTCATAAACTACATTTACCAACCTAGAAATGTAGTTTTCCCAGGAAATAAAAATCAACTCTCCGATGTCACCACCTCTGGAATTGTCATAATTGTGAAACATTTAGTGACTTTTTTAAAACTGAAAGTACTAAAAAAATCATAATTTTGATTATTATTATGATCATGAATACTAACATTGTTCATATCTTATAAAGGAGTAAAACATTTAAGAAATATATCCTTGAACCTTTTACAAATGGGAGAATTCCAATTTTATTAGCTCAATCATGAGGTTCCTGATTATTATCAAAGGATAAGTATTATCATGGTAGATGTAACAATAAATAGTGAAATCAAGTATTCTTTGGTTTGTGGCTTTTGCTTTTACTCCTAATCAAAAGCTGCTCAGACTGAAGTGCATGTGTTTCTGCTTTTGCTGTGAGAAAAGCACACAACTGAGCCAGCATTTGTTTCCACCAAAGAAATGTCACGGCCCTTTCAGTTTGACACGCCTGTGACCCACAGACTCACCGGGAGAAGTGACCCTTAACGAACTCTGTAAGGCATTTCAGATGTTTGGTGTGTTTCAATTCTACATCGTAGATGCAACTCATTTGATGGCTGTTATTCTAATTAAAGACCTGCCGAATGTAAGCATTCAGACTTTCAGACTTTTCTTCAAGGCGTTCGTGGACAAAAAATAACACTCATACACACTCACACACACATATATATATATTTTTGTAATATTTTTTTAAAGACTCAGTTTAAACAGGACACTACTCAAATGTAAGCATAACATATATTAAAAAAAGAAAGTAAAGGAAGGAATAATTGTTGGGTTCATCAGCATATGTTGAACATACTGCACTTGTTATACCATGTAGGTATGCTGTGAGTTCCCTTAGCCCTCCTCAGGAGCTAGACCACGCCTCCCGTTACCCAGTAATGTCCATCTTGAGTATACATTACACAAAACCTCTCACCTGCAATATTGCTTAGGCCACAAAAGCTGCCAAGTCAACCAAAAAACAGAAACCTGAACACTAGTTGGTAAACACACAAGAAACACAAGGTGCCACATATTGGACATTCCACATAGGGATTCAACTTTGTGCCAGGTCTGAATAAGAAAGGAGATTATTGGTTACAAATGGAATTTACATTGGACATAAGTTGGGTCTTTTGGAAAAGAGTAACCTTGCAACGTTAGTGGTTGAATAATATCTTCCTCTAATTCACTCCAAAAAGCAGATATTTCAGCCTTAGCCCGCACAAAGGAACAAAGGAAATAATATATAAGGTCATATAAACGTCAGTATTTGGATTATGGGCGTTCAGAAGTTTATGTTGGCAATAGTAATGATCATAGAGATTTCTTGGTAAGTTTAAGGCACCATTTGTTTAAACCAAGTTTTGTGTGTGGTCCTTACGGGGCTTGTTCTTGAAAATGTACCTTAGTAAAATTACTTTAGCTCACTGTGATACCATATCTCTAACAATGATTAAATTAAGTATATCGGAGATTTATGCATTAATAAAAGCCAAAACATTGCGATTTATCACCTCAGAGGTGATCAGTAGCATATTAAAAAGGTGTGTGAATGAAAGTACTTTTCAAATGCTGACCTTTTATCTTTGGAAAACAACTTTGCAGTAGATTTCACTTTCACATTTTGTGTTTTGATTGAGGAACGTAAATAAAATACCTCAAACCTGCCTGTTTATACTCTGCTGGGACTCGACCTGCTGTCCTCACAACAGTGTGCACAGTCAGCATAACTGAGTCCAAATTTAAATTAGACCCCAGTGTTAAACACTGGGAAAAAGGCATCTGTGTAGGGGGGAGCTTGTAAGTAGAATAAAGGGAGGAGAGCCAAAGTAATCTTTTAAAACAGCTAGTCTAGTGGAGTGCTATTAAAAGCATTAAAGTCTTTAAAAACATTGAATGAAAACTGAATACATCATACTGCTGTTAATTACAATGGTTGAATATGTCTGGTCTTTTCTTTATTCAAACAATATTAAAAAATGTGGAAATTTATCTTTAATCTGAGCTGCAGGTTTTGTTCTCATTTATTGACTGAATATCTATTAAAGGTTCAAAATTAAATGATAGAATTTGGATTTGAATTTGGTCAAGCTCAATTTGCTCAAGCTGTTTTACCGTTTTCAACTTCTTACCCGTTTTACGCAACAGAGGGTTATCTGCATTTAGTCAGAAAAACACAGATAACACAGACAAGGTTACATATGTAAGGTTACATATGTAAGGTTACATAAGGAATTGGTATGTAATTCCAACACAGCAAACACACTGTTGATGATGCTCTCACATTGAAAACAAGTTTGATTCAACATGTTGGATGAAAATATGCTTCAGCTTTTCCTCCAAAACATCTCCAGCTTCTAGACTGTTCCCAAAGTCTGAGTTGTATATGTATGTTGTTAGATCTGTTTTAGATCCGTGAAATAAAATTCAGCTTAATTCCCTGTTTCTCACCAAATGTATTGTTTTGAGAAAAACTCTTCATGGTGGATTTACAGAATTCAAGACATGGATAGAATAGTTGGAATATCCTTATTTTCCTATTTCATACTTGAATGAAATTTAATGTAAGCATTCATTGCACTTTCTTTCATCTGCCTGTTAAAACATAACTCTGAGACTGGAAGAAAAAGTTGATGATAATGAGATATCACTGTGAGCACAGCTGGTCAGTCTTACTGTAGGGGTACCTTCCAAAATACCAACGCCGGTCCTGTTTTTCATGAGAGGCCTTGGACTTGTAAGGCGTGTGGAATGTGTTTCTCACACATATCACCACAGACATCGACTTCTGTTGATGCGTGTGAGGCACGATGCACGCATGTCAGTGTAGTTTCAGAGCAGCACTGTTTGCTAAGGAACGGAGTTTTATTTTTTGGTCCATTTATGTGGTTGTGAACCACACAAGCAACTTCTGGCATGCCTGAAAACGTGGGTGTCAGTTCACCTGCCGTGTCAGAGCAAAAGACTAACTAAGCTGAGGAAGTGATGTGGCCCTCTATGTTCACCTTCAGTGCGACAGGAGTTGAGCATAGAGCATTACATTTTTAGCTTTCAAACTGAATGTTTTACAGAATTTCACCTGCTCAAGATTAATTAAAGTTCAAATAATAAACTTACATAAATTCTGTTTAGAATATATGCTGATATAAAGAAGCTGTGAGCATTAAGCACCTGTTTAACCCACAGTATGATAACTTGTATAAAAATGATTAATCAAATAATTAATGATAATAATAAACAAATAATGAATAATTATTAGAAATTAATCAATGATAAAATGAATGACAACCTATTAATACATATAATGATTAAGAGATTTTCATAAGTTGACTTCTTATAGTTGGATGATATGATAGGATAATTGGATTTAACAATCCCCACAGTGGGTGTTTCTGTTGGTTTAAAACATATTCAAGTTTGGTTTAGAAGATATGCTGCTAATTTAGGGAAGCCATGAGAATGGAGCACCTGTTTAACCAACTCTGTGATAAGTTGTAGTTTCTCATTGGTCCAGGAGAAAGCGACATTATCCATAAAAACCCCGACAATGAGGCAGAGAGTGAGTGCAGTTTTCTCTCTCATCAAGGGGAAAGCATGAAGCTGTTCATCCTCATTGCTCTGGTTGGGCTGAGCGCTGCTCAGCACAACCCCAACATCAGGAATGGGAGGACAGCTCTTGTCCACCTGTTTGAGTGGCGCTGGGCCGACATTGCTCAGGAATGCGAGCGCTTCCTGGGGCCAAATGGCTTCGGTGGGGTTCAGGTGTGTATGGCAGAAGACTCGCTTTCAATTGAGCTGTTCTGGATAGGGAAGATGTATTTAATGTTGAATTTAATGTTTCTGCAGGCTGATGATAAAAAAAAATATTTGTATTTATCCAGGGGCAAAATATAAATGTTGGTATTTGCCAGCCATTTTCTTTCCATATTTGATATTTAAAAAAAAAAATCAGATATATCATGATGGAGTTTTAATACAGTGAAAGAAGTCAAAATTGTGCTTTAAAGTCAGAATAATGTAGCTATTAGGATGGGTCAGGTTATTGTCTTTGGTTTCTTTACTTTGATCTAATCCTAAACCAGGACAGATATCCTGACATATTGTAATATCTGTAGAAACACTTGTTCAGTGTATTGTCATGTTTTGTGCCAATCCAAAGGTGGGAACCCATTTTTCCCTAAAACTTAATTCAAATGACTTCTTATAACTAATGAATGGATTTAAATTTGTTCTACACATTACCTGAATGAGATCAACTTATTTCTACTTAAACTTCGCTTCAGCCTCCATTTGGGCTTGTAGAAAATAGCTAGTGTATTTTTGTGGTCTGCTGCCTCCCTCCGGTGGTAAACTTGTTTATACGATAAAATGGATGTTGTTCTTGTGGATTTGATTTGATTGGAAAGGACTGGATTTACATGGCTCTGTATTAGACCTCTGGACAGTGTAAAAACTGTCAACAATCCCAGCTGCATTTTTCCTCTATTCTAAGGGAGTCCTGAAATTATTTTTTTTTACATCTTTGCCCATGTTTCAGTTTGAGTACATACACAGGCCAACCACATTTTGAAGTTTCAGACTCTCTCACACAACCGCAGCTTTTTTCTTTTTAGCATAATTGTTCCATCTGCAAGCATTTTTTCTTGGAAAAGTGATAATTGTTGAAATCTGTTTTTCTATTTGTTGTTCAGATCTCTCCTCCCAATGAGCACATTGTGCTGAACAGCCCCTGGAGGCCCTGGTGGCAGAGATACCAGCCTATCAGCTACAAGCTGTGCTCCAGATCAGGCAGTGAGGCAGAGCTGAGAGACATGATCTCCAGATGTAACAACGTTGGGGTAAACATTTAGCTTTAATCAAATAGTTCGATTTCTTGATTTGATATAACTAAGAACATTGTCCCATCTTTCTACACTGAAGAAAACGTGTCAATCAAGCCAGTCAATTGAAACTTTGACATATTAAAACCCATTGAGTATGCAGTCCTTCTTTGTGGAGCAAATTGTTAGACCTGGTAATCATGGGAGATGTTTCTTTGACATTCCTGTGATCTCGAAATGAAATCAACTCTCAAGATAGGCGACTTTTAAGAAGTGCCGATGGGATTTGTTCGAATGCTGTACTTGTGTTTCTGATTCCACTTACAGGTCAGTATCTACGTGGACGCTGTCATCAACCACATGTGTGGAGCTGGTGGTGGTGAGGGGACTCACTCTTCATGTGGAAGCTGGTTCAGTGCAGGCAGGAAGGACTTCCCCAGCGTTCCCTTTTCCAACATGGACTTCAACGATCATAAATGCAGGACTGGCAGTGGCAACATAGAAAACTATGGCGATGCCAATCAGGTAATCAATGTTTCTGAACATCTTCTGAAATCTCAGGGGATTTAAAAAGTTTACACTCAAACTAACTTAATTACTTCAAGCTGCTTCTGATTAAAAAGTTTATTTTGATATTCCCCTTATTTTAATTTAAAAGTAGTTCATAATTGTTCATAATCTTCTAAGTTAACACAAAACAAATTAGCAATATTGTAGTATAGTTGGCTTGATCCCGCCATTGGAACTGCTCAGCCAGAACAAACTGGGCTTGACTTCTGTTTTATTGTACATATTGGCATACATGTAAGTGTTTCCTGCCAGTTGTTTGAAAAGGAATTTAAAGGGTCGTGTGGTAAATCTAGCAGAGAATGAAAAACATATTAATCAAAACCTAAAATCAGAGATTAAGTATTTGAAATGTAATATTTAATGTTGATCATTGGGATCATGATGGAATCTCTCTGCCTCAGGTGCGTGACTGTCGTCTGGTTGGTCTGCTGGATCTCGCTCTGGAGAAAGACTACGTCAGAGGCAAAGTTGCTGCCTACATGAACCAGCTGATTGACATGGGAGTGGCTGGATTCAGAGTGGATGCTTGCAAGCACATGTGGCCCGGTGACCTGGATAATGTTTATCGTCGTCTTCACAGCCTCAACACCAAATGGTTCCCAGGAGGCTCCAGGCCCTTCATCTTCCAGGAGGTATTTCTTTTCATGCTTATTTTTACAGTTTGATTATCTTCAGTAAAAAAAAAAAAACATTATCCACTCATCACGTACCTTACACATCATAGGTTTTCTGCAAGAAATAATTAATTTTCTTTGGTTTATAATGCAGTATTGGCTGCATTTCATTTGAAACAACTGTAATAAACATGCTGAAAACCTACAATACAGTATTGATACTGTCTACTACTGTGTTTAAATATGTGGAAACTATTTAGTTTATAGAAATCATCTCTTTTTTAGGTTATTGATCTGGGAGGTGAGCCCATCTCCTCCAGGGAGTATTTTGGTCTGGGAAGAGTAACTGAATTCAAATATGGAGCTAGAATTGGAGCTATCTTCAGAAAATGGAATGGAGAGAAGCTGTCTTACACCAAGTATGTGTCTTTATGCATTTATGATGGAGAAGGTTGTTTATCTTGAAATCCATTAATATATTGTCTTAAATTCGAGCAATAGTAAATACTTTATGTTTTGAAAGTGTTTAATCTTTTTCTATGTATTCCATGTGTGCAGGAACTGGGGAGAAGGATGGGGCTTCATGCCTAATGGGAATGCTGTTGTGTTTGTTGATAACCATGACAACCAGAGAGGTCACGGTGCTGGGGGAGCATCCATCGTTACCTTCTGGGACTCCAGACTCTACAAGATGGCTGTTGGCTACATGTTGGCCCATCCTTATGGAGTGACCAGGGTCATGTCTAGCTACCGCTGGGATCGCCACTTTGTGAACGGAAAGGTTTGTTTTAGAATCAGTTCTAAACACAAAAAGATACATTTGATCAATAGATCCTGGTTGAAACTTTCGTTTTTGTTTTGTTGTGTAAAAAACAATTTATAAATGACTGCAGGACCAGAATGACTGGATTGGACCTCCCAGCAACGGCGATGGATCCACCAAGCCTGTGACCATCAATCCTGACCAGACATGTGGAAATGGATGGGTGTGTGAGCACAGATGGCGTCAGATCAAGTGAGCTCACTAATCAAATCTTTGTTGATTAATCTCATGCATCAGAGTAGTATATACATGTCATGCTTTGATAGTAATTTGTGCCATTGATTCAATGTAATGTTTTTTTTGTCTGTTAAGGAACATGGTCGTTTTCCGTAATGTGGTCAATGGACAGCCTCACTCCAACTGGTGGGACAACCAGAGCAACCAGGTTGCCTTTGGACGTGGCAATCGTGGTTTCATTGTCTTTAACAATGATGACTGGTAAGAATTGAGAATGATCAATTAAAAAAGACCTTTTGTGGGGTGGGATATACCGTAGGTTTAACGTTTATTTCTTTAAAAAATTCTCTAAACTTTATATTCTTAAAAATACCAAAGAAATGCTCTTTTAAATGCAGCAGGGACTAAAAACAAACCATCCAGCAGATTTAAAACTAAATTGTATCCTTGTGTACTACACGTACTATCATTATACAATTAGTTTATCTCTGAAATCTGCAGAACATATGAAACACCTTGCTAGTTTCCGAAACTTGTGAGACTAGCTTGTCATTGTTAAAACAACTATGTGATTCTGTCTTTTAGGAACTTGGATGTGACCCTGAACACCGGCATGCCTGGTGGCACCTACTGTGATGTCATTTCTGGTCAGAAGGAAGGCGGCAGGTGCACTGGGAAGCAGATCAATGTCGGGGGTGATGGGCGTGCCCATTTCTTTATCAGCAACAGAGATGAGGACCCCTTCGTTGCTATTCATGCTGAATCCAAGCTGTAAACTGTTAACTCAAAATAAAAAAATAAATGAAAAAAAAAAACTTGTGAAATTTTTAAATGAGCATTGTTGGTTTGGTTTAGGGATTCAAAGGACAATTTGTGACTCCAGTGAGACAAAAACAGAACAGGACTGAACAGAGGCCATTTTGTCCAGTCTTTTCACTCTCTTCACAAGCTGCTCAAAAGTAAAGCTAACTGTTTATGGTCAGTGCAGGTTCCTCTTTGAGCTGTCTCCTCTCACAGAGCAGCAGCACCCCCTGCTGTCTTTATTTAAAAGACACACTCTGGCTGACAGAGTAAAGGCTAGTGGTTCAGTATTAGCTGTGGAGGCGACAGGATGAGAAAAAAAGTCATGTAAATGTCTGGAATTGAAGCATAGACTCTTGTGATGATGTGACCTGTAGGCCTGGCAGGGTGGGGGTGCAGTACTTGTCATGGCCTTGTGACTACCTGCCATTTCCAAGAGGACATGGCCATATAATTTAATCACAAATAGAGCTGCAAATGCTCCCAAGGACATTCACACCATTACACAAACAAGCACATATGAGTGCTTATTTATGTTGCTCAGTGTGTGTTTACAAATGCCATCATCAAAAGTTATGTGAATGTATATACACAACATTAAGCTTTCTGAGAGCAACAAGACTGAAAATGCAAACCATACAAAGAAAGCGTCCAATTGGTTCAAATTGCAGACAAAAACAGCATGAATGTCCTGCCGACTAAATGAGCTCCCATTTTTTCAGCTGTTGCCAAAATACCTTTAAGAGTCAGGATGTTGATGTGTACACACCATTTTTACTTTGTGAAGTATATAAGATTTCTTAATTAATACCAGGATGATTCTTAAAATAAAAATTGTTCATAAATACAACCAGGTATTTCCTAATGGCTATTTCCTTAATGATACAGTCACAAAAGGAGCTGCAAAATGTCTGGGATATTCACACTATAATATATAAACATGAGTACATTTGAAAATATATATACATATAGCCTATATATAAATTTGCGGTAGTAAATTTAACTTTATTTGAATAGCTTTTACAGCGATATGTTCTATTATAATTCATAGGAAACCACAGACTTGCTCAACCCTTTGGCAGACTTGGTAAGATATATGCAGTACATTTTGCCTGTTGCAACATTCTCCGGTTATTGAACTTGGTGGGCAAATACAAATGACTAGAATCAACAGAATTAATTCAAACCTACATGTCCTGACCGGTGAGATGTTTCCAGGAGTAGTTTTTAATTGGGCTGATATTAAGGTAAGAAGTACTGTGATCATTTTGAAAAGCAAAAACGATACTTTTGTTGACTAGTGTTTCAATTTACTGTCTCTTGTAAAAAAGCAAACATGATCAGTTTCAGCTTTACTTGTCTTGCCTTGACCTGCAACCAAACTAAAATTAAGTGGAGGGATTGGAGCGCTGACATCAGTGTCTCTCACTGTTTCTTGCGTTTTATGTTTGGGTTCATTGCTACATATTAACCTATGAAATTATTATTTCCAAGCTGAACTAAGTATTTGTCTCTCCCATTCAAGAAAAGCATGAAGCTCTTCACCTTTGTTGCCCTGCTTGGGCTAAGCTACAGCCAACATAACCCACACTTTAGGCACGAAAGGACGGCAATTGTTCACCTGTTTGAGTGGCGCTGGGCTGACATCAGCGAGGAGTGTGAACGTTTCCTGGGTCCCAAAGGATTCGGAGGTGTTCAGGTATACAGAACTTCACAAAGGAATGATACATGCTCTTTTTTTGCAAAAGAAGAACATTTCAAATTCAGTTACATGCTGAAAATGTGGCAAGTAGTTCGTTCAGTGATGTTGACAGAGGGGAGCCAAACGTTTTATCTATTTAATGTAAAACTAGAAATTCTACTTTGGGCAGTTGTGATAGCTTATTGAAATATAAAGTTAACAAAGAATATGATTGTTAGGTTACTTATTCTAAATTTCGGAACTTTTTTCCAGAGCCAAAACTGTTTTTCCAGGGTGAGTGATCATTGTTATCTTACCATGACCCTCCCCTCTAAACTTGCTGAGTTACACTCATTTGTAACTCACACAAATGAGTGTACTTCACAACAGTCGCCTGTTCTCATGATTTCTTTAAGAAATCAACAGTCTAATTTTTTTGTCCCTATTTTGCACAGATCTCTCCTCCCAATGAACACATTGTGCTGGATAGTCCCTGGAGGCCCTGGTGGCAGAGATACCAGCCTATCAGCTACAAGTTGTGCTCCAGGTCTGGCAGTGAGGATGAGTTCAAAGACATGGTCACAAGATGCAACAACGTTGGGGTAAACCATATCATAGGCGTGATTTAGTGAAAAGCTGAATAGTAACAGTTTATCAGCATCTTGTTCCCCTAAAACCATGTTAGAAACTACCAAAATCACAAATGTATATTTGATCCTTGATGCCTTTTTGTGTTGTTCTAATACTGCTTTGTTGTTTCTTGGATTGTGTAAATTAACATTAATTATCTGACATTCGGCTGGACTCTAAAAAGTCAAGTTTGGAAAAAATACTCAAAGTTGTAGTAACATCAATTTGACCCTCTGTGCTAGTTTTTTCCCACAGGTCAACATTTATGTGGATGCTGTCATCAACCACATGTGTGGAGCTGGAGGAGGGGAAGGAAACCATTCTTCATGCGGAAGCTGGTTCAACGCTGGAAAAGAGAATTTTCCCAGTGTTCCCTATTCCTCTTGGGACTTCAATGATAAAAAATGCATGACTGGAAGTGGCGGTATTGAAAACTACAGTGAAAAACATCAAGTAATTTCAAACCCATAACACCTTAAGATCTGTCTTTATGTATTCTTTTACAAAATTGCCTGACAGAAATTTAATCAAATTTCATTCTCTTTTTCTGAACTTCTGCAACATTTTCTCATTTTCCCTAAACTATAAGCTGTAAATCTACAATCCATCTGTATCAACCTTTGCAGGTGCGTAACTGTCGTCTGGTCAGCCTTCTGGACCTCGCCCTGGAGAAAGATTATGTTAGGGGCAAAATAGCTGAGTATATGAACAACCTGGTTGACTTGGGAGTGGCTGGATTCAGAGTGGACGCTTGTAAGCACATGTGGCCTGTTGACCTGGAGAATATTTATCATCGTCTTCACACTCTCAACACTACATGGTTCCCCAGTAACTCCAGACCCTTCATCTACCAGGAGGTTATTTATCCCAATACCTTTTATTGTTAGTCTACAGCCTAAATGAATCTTTATGTAAAGACCACTGTGAGACATTCATGGTTCATTCATGATTTGTTAGTAAACTGCTGAAAAACATTTGGTAATTATATCAGGGACTTCAAACTTGATTTTGTAGCCAGTAAAAAGAAACAAGTTAATGAAAAAGACCAATCAATGTTGATCAAGCACTGAATCTAATTTCCGTAGAATGATTTTACTGTATATGTATATCCGGAATTCTGTGGCATGGTGTACATGAACACTGACAAAACAGATGCTGATTTGGATGCAGTTATTGAATGATAACTTTGTTTTTTAGTGGATGTGTGATGCAAATGTTGTACTCTTTTCATATAAGGTTATAGATTTGGGGGGTGAGGCAATCTCATCTGCAGAGTATTCCCATCTTGGAAGAGTGACTGAGTTCAAGTATGGCACCAAACTGGGGACTGTCTTCAGAAAATGGAACGGGGAGAAATTACTTTACACCAGGTAAAATAGCTTCAACTTGTGCATCAAAACTAAAAATGAAACAGATCCTACTGTTTCAGTTACTCGTGATGTAGATGCTATAACCCACATTAAATGCTGATCAAATCAAAGATTGCCAAATTCAATTCCTACTTTGCTAACCTGTATCCAGGAGCTGGGGAGAAGGATGGGGCTTCATGCCTAATGGAAATGCTGTTGTCTTTATTGATAACCATGACAACCAGAGGGGTCATGGTGCTGGTGGTTCGTCCATAGTTACCTTCTGGGACTCCAGACTCCACAAAATGGCTGTTGGCTATATGTTGGCCCACCCTTATGGAGTGGCCAGGGTCATGTCTAGCTACCGCTGGGATCGTAACTTTGCAAATGGAAAAGTATGTTCTCCATCTACAGAAATAATGACTAACAGGTATCCAAAAATTATAGCTATTTGGAAACAACTGTGTACCTTATCAATGACCACAGGACCAGAATGACTGGATGGGTCCTCCCAGTAACAGCGATGGATCCACCAAGCCTGTTCCGGTCAACCCTGACCAGACATGTGGAGACGGATGGGTGTGTGAGCACAGATGGCGTCAGATCACGTGAGTTCTTGAAGGACAATAATCAGCCGATCTTGCACAGCGCTCAGTTGGCCTTTGTTCAGTTCCATGAATAATGGATATAAGGATCATAAATATATACTTCATGTTTAAAATGCACTTGCGGACCGTCCATGGAGTACCCCGCCTCTCGCCCATTGACTACTGGGATAGGCTCCAGTCCCCCTGCGAATTAAGGGAATAAGCGGTTACGATAAAGGATGGATAGATGGATGGATGTTTAAAATGCAATTTTCCATCTTCTTTACAGGAACATGGTAATTTTCCGTAATGTGGTCAATGGACATCCCCAAACCAACTGGTGGGACAACCAGAGCAACCAGGTTGCATTTGGACGTGGCAATCGTGGTTTCATTGTCTTTAACAATGATGACTGGTAAGGATTGAATGCACATGTACTTAAGTGCATGGACTCCTATACACCAATGAGAAGAGGAAGAAGAGGTGACAATCATGTGAACTTCACACATTTAGTTGACACATCACACTTTCAACTCTACAGGCAACTTCATCCATTCCATGTTTAAATGAATGAATACATGAATGAAGTACAGTTGGAATGTTTTTCGTCAAAACCCTTTACCTCTTACATTGTTTTGACTTTAAAATAGCTTTTCTTGACTTTCAGGGACCTGGATGTGACTCTGAACACTGGCCTGCCTGGTGGTACCTACTGTGACATCATTTCTGGACAAAAGGAAGGAAACAGTTGCACTGGGAAGCAGATCAATGTTGGTGCTGATGGCCAGGCACACTTTAGGATCAGTAACAGAGATGAGGACCCCTTTGTTGCTATTCATGTTGAAGCTAAGCTGTAAATTAATCCTTTATACTTTTAGGATGCATCTAATCTTAAGTGAAAAACCTTATATTTCATGGAGACTGAATGAGATATTTTGTTTTAAAAAAGGGACAAACATAGGGATAAATACTAAAACTGATTGAAATATGATTGACAGGAGATACGGTCCTAAGTCTTTCCCAACTTTAAGGAATGTTATATGTAATATGATACTAAGACTTGTTTTAGGTACCATGTACTACAAGGGGGAGTGTATTGGCAAGTGGAGATTAGCTTGATTTCCAATTCAGTTTAAATAAAAAGTTGAATTTGATAATACTTGTAAAATGTTGCTCTGTTCAAATTCAAGATTCATTAAAGTACAGTATATTTCAATGTTTGTTGGGCATTTTTGTTAATCAATGAAATAGAAAGGTATGCATAATACATTTTTTTCATTAAATCTATTACACATTGAAAGCCATTTTAGAGACTTTATGGTCGGAGTGAAAACATAAACTTTTCTGGTGTTTGATGGCCGGTTTTGGAACAGATGTTTGATTAAACCTTCAGTCAAATCAGTAAATACAAGCATAGGGTGATTACCCTATCTTAGTGATAATCTACTGATGCATGGATCAAATCTTTCCTCTCTCAAACACATCACTCTTTTATACCTTTTATACTTTATACTAAATTTTTCAGATAGTAGTTTTAGATCAGTCCATAAAAACACCCCGGCACTCATTGAAGTTAAGTTCGAATCATATGACAATGATCTTTGTATAGTCTTTGTTTAACTAGAGTACATTTTGGGTAATACAGATGTTTATTATCTAAAAACATTTGGGAATTTGAAGAGTTTCAATCCCAGGAAGAGATGGAGATATAGATTGTTGTTGTGTTGTGTTGTTGTTGTTCATGTCAACAACATATTTTAGTGCTTTGCATAAAAGTAATGATAAATGAAAAAAAGTGTTGCACATACATTTTTTATAGTTGTTGCTGAGTCTCTTAGAGTATTTAAAAGATTTTGCAATTCTTTTTATGTATTTCTTGAAACTGTATTTTCTAAGCTGTCAGGGGTCAGCGAGTATGCCGAATGGGACGTGCTGCAGATGTCCTTCCTGCATTGTGTATTCCCCTCCACTGGGACACCGTGCCATAACAGTACAGTCACTTTTGTTTCACCTGAGTGCCATACTGGCATCCCTCATGCCTCCATCGAAACACTTCCCCTCTCTTTATGCCTGTCTTCCTGTCCCATCATCCTCACTTTCTCTCTGTCTCCGCCATCCCGGCCCACCTGCTGAGTTTCTGTCAGCCCATATAGACCGGTGACACTGAGTGCCAGCAACCAGAGGTGAGACAGCAAAGGTGATACGTGCCAGAATATTCAGCTCTTCCCAGTTGTCATGACAACAGAGTGCATGTGCTGAGAAAAAATGCGAAAGTCTTGACGGGCTCAAAGACAGAAAAAGGGTAAAGGAATAAAAAAAGGTGAATTTAATTTACCCTATGAGGAAGAATGCCGGTGGTGGCAGATATGTTGTTTGCAATGTGTGACAATCACTTTTTAAATCAATCAGCAATCAAAACATCCCTCATATCTATCGTTTTTACCTATCCATTTTATGTAAAAAAAAAAAAAAAAAGCTAATGATTTGTTGTTGTTAATATCTGCAAGAGGAGCAGCTGGAGAGCCACTAAGTGCAGAAGACCTGAAGGAGACTTTAACACTGGACAAGACGCTCTATATTGCAGCTGTTGAATTATTGACCCCTCCCCATCTTTTGGTCCAGCAGCTGTGTGAACCTGTACCCTCCGATTAGCTGAAGAGATGTCGGCATAGCGGAACGGGGTCCTTGGTCCTGTCACCTTCACTGATGCTTTGTGACATGGCTGTCAGCGATGTCTCCATCCTGTTTTATATTTCATATGGTGCCGCAGACCTACCTGTCACATCATTCAGGGAAAGAGACACAGTCATCAACTTCAAGATGAGGCAACCACAGCCCTTTGAGGTATTTCTTCTCTACTCAGCTTTTTCTACTATTTAAATGAATATGTAAATGAATATATAAACACATACAATTCCACAACACTTTCTTTTTACAAATTGAAACAATGGCAGTTGAAATCTGCAAATCCCAGTTCATTTATGAAAGAATTATGGTATCAGATACCATCGAGTCAAAACTATTACTCTTTTCAACACAAAATATGAACCAATCTGACATATTATTAGCTTTTCTACGGTGTAATTATGGTCAGTCTTGGTCATGATACGAGTCAAAAAGACATCTGGTAATGCTCCTTTTTATCACTTGGTGGCAGTGTCGAAACAAAAAAAAAATCTATAGCATATCAGCTGTGTAGAGGATTTGTTTATAAGGTTTAAGAGACATAATGCATCTGAGAGCAATCAGAGGAAGGCTTGATCAGCTTCAAGAAATTATTCATGAATGGTCCTTATAAGATTAAGTCATGATTTTATATATAAAACATAATACAGAAAAAGAGATTAATGGAGTCATGAGAGTTTTGCAACTTTTAATCATCCATCAATCAGGGTGTCCGATCCTCATGTTCAGATTATGTCATCTTGGATACTTCATCAGATTGATATATCTGATGGTATCGATCTGAAGTTATTGATTCCAGCTAACTGAGCCCGAGCTTTTCACATGGAGACATGTAAAGCTTTAGCTCTCTTTCTCCATGGCAACAAGCTATGGAAACCTACACATCTAGGCACGTGTAGTTAAGTTTATATATCCATACATATACATAAATATATGGAGAGAGAGAGAAAGTGTGACAGAGGGCAAGAGAAATAATCATAATACACATAATTTCATCAAATTGTAGGACTAATACAGCATATAACATATCAAATCCATTACCTATTGTCTTTGCTGCTTATCTCAGGTGACATTGGGCAGGTCATTTTATCCCAATTTAATATCAATAAGTGTTATACATATATAAAACATAATACTTATTAAAATAGTTCACATCTATTAAAACTCCTATATACTTCAAAACCTACAATGGGCTTTGGGTGTAGATGCAAAGGCAACAGATTGCTGTTATTTTTCGAGGATGAAGATCTGATGAGAACTTAAAAAAGCAAGTTTTGTAACTTGAAAGTACAGTAATGGACAAAGAAGACAACACAATGTGAGATAAAAGTTTCATCAGTGGCTTTTAGAAGACAGTTTACATTGCAAGAAAAAACGTGATGATGGGCCTACGGGAGAATTTGAATTTTTTTCTCAAAGAAAAAAAAGTAAAAATAAAAATAACTGTGGAAGTGCTCTTTTCATTTGACAAAGTTATTATAATCAGGTAAGTACGGAAAATCTGGCACATGTTAAACAGCTGGTTACTCCTTCCAGTTATGTAAAATCCATCAATGCCTGTTTGTGTGTCATAGTTACCCTTTTCAAAAACCTTTGCCGTCCTTGCAATGAGCTTATTCATACCCCCTACCAACAGATTATACAGCAGCAATGTGAAGGTTGGCCTTTTGTGTCGTTATGCATTTCTCTGCTTTATACTTTAATGATATCGTTGCCAAGCTAAGTCATCTTTCATAGCTGATACCCCACTGGGTGGCCAATACCAGTCTGTGGTGTGTGTGCGGATGTGTGTGGTCCGTATACCAGGCATGGTAAATGTTGAGTGTGACAAGCTCTACTTAGCCCTAAATCTCTGTCGGAGACTCTCCCATGAAGCCAAAATACCACTATGAGAAATAGGAGACCAGCACAACTTTGAAATAATTGAGACAAACTCATTCAGTCGCGGCTCATTTAATATAATGAGCGAAGTGAGCTGTTCAATTTGCATACTGATAAGATCCCTCCATAACATTACATGGCCCCTCTTCATAGAAATTCACTGTGGATATTACATGTAATCAGAGCATGGATTTACTTTACAAACACAATCAGTGAAAACTAAGACTTTCAATTAGATCATTGGCAGGTCGTAATCACCTCTAAAACCGATCAGGCTGCAGGTCAACAGCATCTTGACTCATTTTTCTGTCATAAATAAATTAAATGTTTAACCCTGACCAAAATGCTAGAGACTCAATAGACATTTGGTCTTTAGCAATCGGTTCAAAGGTACATCCTGTCTATTTCAGCATCATATATATATTTCATGTGATGGCTTTGGGATCGTATGCAATGACATCTCATGGCGGACACCTTTGTGTTTTCTTTATTGATCTCTGTTATTGCTATGGAAGCCCCTTTGCTGACTGTGTTTGCCTCCCTTCTCTTTTTCTCATTCCCTTAGGTTCCAGTCTCACAGGAGCACAGTGATTGTTTTTACTAGCTGACACCAAAACTGCCTGGGCAGCAGCAATGGCTGGTCTAAATCACATGTGAAGCATCTCCATGCAGTCCTAAAGGTATTAGGCCAGACCTCAGCTCCACCCTGGCTTCAGAACCCACGCATCTCTGAAGCAAGACTGTTGGAAAGGAAGCAGATGGTGACATGAATAGTGCAGCAGGTCCTGCACACCCCCACCTTTTGCCTTGCGTGCAGCACATTACTTCAACAAATCCCTCTCATTATTGATGTGTTGGAATGGCTCCATCATAACTACATTTTTGCAGAGTGGCAGAGCCATCAAGGTCAATACTGCTGACATTACTGACATACTTACAAAACTACAATGCTGTGTCTGTGACTTCTGAGGGGCGTGGAAACTTCTTGAAAACTGCTGCACTGGAAAATGCCTCTATTGGCGAGTGAGGAGAAACTTTGGTATGGATGGCTACGCAATGATATATATATATATATATATATATATTTCCATTCTGTGGAGCAACAGAATGGAAACAACATTTTTGTTCCACTCATTTTGCACAATACGGTTTCTTCAAGTGATTCTAAAACACATTTTTACCCAATTTCCTATCTGTCTTCGAGACACTGCAAGGGGGAAAACCCACAGAAACACCTTAATTATACATAGCAGCCCTGGGCAACTTATAACATTAAACTTTTATGGCT